CCTCACTTAACCTGAATCTCAGTTTCCTCATCTGTAAAATGAGGAAAGTAACAGTCCCTGTATCTACAAAGGCAGTTGTAAGAACTGAGTGCTCTCTCTCTCTCTCTTTCACACACACACACTCAACACTGTCTGACACACAGAGAAAGTGCTATGCAAGAATTAGCCACTATTATCATTTCCCAGTGCTTCATGCCCACTAGTTTCTGAAGTCTCTTACAAAGTTCACCACATATAATAACATGCAAGAAATGTAGTTTTTCTACCACTGAATTGATAAATCATATGCACACACAATCTTTTAAATACAATTATTGATGTGATTTAATCTTTATAGCCTGCTTTTATTTAATGAGTACTAGATTAAGACAGAAGACTCTCAAATTTAGTTCTGGCAGTAACTAGTTATGTGGACACTGGTCAGGTATAACTTCTCTATGATTATTTCCTCAACTATAAAATAAGAACCTGAAACATAACTTCTAGGATTCTTTCTAGCTCTATAAACCTTGGACTTACTCATTATTCCTAGAAAGAAGAAAAACAAAAAGCCTTTAGATGCTGCCACCTCAAAATAAAATTTTCTTTGTGCATAAAACAATTTCAAATTGCATTTAACTTTTTTTTTTTTTTTTTGCAATTTTTGGCTAGGGCTGGGTTTGAACCCACAACCTTTCGCATATGGGGCCAGCATCCTACTCCTTTGAGCCACAGGCACTGCCCCAAATTGCATTTAACTTTTGAAACACTAAATGTAAGTAAACTTACCCAACTTTGGACTCTAGAATTAAACCTGTCTTTTAGAGGAAGACAACAAAGCCCTGTTTATTACAGAAGCACAATACCTATTTATATATATATTTTTTTTTCACAATACCTATATTAGTGTTATGTTCTTAAGGTGGCAGACTGGATTCCACAATATAGATCAAACACCGTAGATCAAAGATTCAAAGAAGATGAGTTTCTGCTAACATTCCTGGTTTGCTCATGTTTACAAATAAAAATGCACTTACTTTTTTCTTCTGCATGTATTTTAGAATTTCCAAAGTCTGTTTAATTTCAGGAATCTGACCTTTTAGCCTGTGAATAAGAAAAAGGTTAACTTAATATTTTGCAGGCAAGAATAAACACTAGAACATGGTCTTAGAAGTTCTGCATTTGGCTCGGTGCCTATAGCTCAACCGGCTAAGGCACCAGCCACGTACACCTAAGGTGGTGGGTTCAAATCCCCAGCCCGGACCTGCCAAACAACAATGATGGCTGCAACCAAAAAATAGC